TTCTCATGCCAGTGTACTGAGTGCACCTCCAAGTCTAAGGTATGATAGCCTTATCTGTCCCAAGTTTTTTGTCTATAGTCTTGCCCCCATTAGCCAGTAAATAGTAATTACCATTTGGCAGAGACCACTGCGTAGGAGCAGCAGATTGTAGAATATAACGTAATACAACGTTTCTGGAGTACGTGCTTTGAGCTGTTTGGGCTTATGACAGTTAAATAAAAACAATAGCTCTCCAGTCTTTATCTTATTCTTTTGGCAGGAAATTAGACTAAACTTGTGGAAACATGTATCTGGTATCAATAATCAACAGTTTTGCCTTTGGAAAAATGTGAAAATCGTATCTAGTTTTTCATTTCCAGCTTTGAGTAGCTCCCATTGTGCATAGCTCCCTTAATGGTTTAGATTACCTTATGTATGATATGTTTCCGTGAAATTGATCCTCAAATCATTCCCTTTATTTTCTTTCTAGGACAAAGCAAAAATGGAGACCAGGAAGCTGAGTTCTCCACCAGAGCCAGAGAAAATCAAAGCCATGGTCCATTACGCCAAGATTGTGATCGAGGAGTTCAGGAGGGCCAAACACTACAAAAATATCCTCTTCCTCGGTTTACAACTGCATTTCTCTTACATTTCCAGTCCATTTTCAACCTTTCCCAGCCTCCTTTTCTTCTTCTAAGCATTGTTTGTGTCATTATTCCTTGACTCTGGCACCCCCCAGTGAGCTGCTGGAGATTTGTGAGCTCAGCCTGGAGAAGATGGGAGCGATATTTGCAGACACAAACGTGTACATGCTGCACATGATGTATCAGGCCATGGGAGTCTGCCTCTACATGCAGGACTGGGACGGAGCGTTGAGATACGGAGAGAAGATCGTTCAGCCGTACAGGTGAATTCATCTTTGGGGGATCTGTATGGAATCAGGATTGAAGTTACAATAGATCCTTATAAGAAGTGACAATGAGTTATAACGGCGACACAATCTTTAGACAAAGAAGTGGATGATAAAGCCCTGTAGAAACATTCTAGTATTGAAATGCGTTTATGACATTTCCAGGCAAAATATGCTAAAAATATGTATTTTATTCCTATTTTACTGCTTTAATTAATTGATTTAACTGGACTTTGCCACTTCAAATAATACAATTATTTTCTTAAGGGCACAATATGACTTTAACCTTTCTCCCCATGAAGAGTTCTCTGTCCCGCTTACAATATGCAGTATGTACTCTACAACAGATGTTATATTGGGTTGTTTGAATACACTCACACTCAACATATTTCCCTCTGTGTTACACAACACTCCACAACATCTGAAATATCTTTCATATTTTACTGTTGAACTCTACTAGTTTTATATGTTCTGAACTTTTATAGTACAACAACAAAACCCATTGTAACATCGATCAACATTGTTTCATCTCGCATTCACAGCTTGGCTTGATGTATAAATAATGTTCTCTCTGCAGCGTTCACTACCCGGCCTACTCTCTGAACGTGGCGTCTATGTATTTAAAACTGGGACGTCTGTATTTGGGGCTGGAGAAGAAGAAACAAGGAATCAGAGCTTTGAAGAGGGTACGTTTACTGACATCTGGACATTATGCATACCAACTAATTTGTGCTTTTGTCAAACAATATTTCACTTTATTGTATGAAATAACGATAGTCCCAGGCACCCAATGACTTAATACAGTATGATTTTATAAAAAAAAATGACTTTATCTCATAATATTCCTAAAAAACAATCAAGTATTTAGAACCTATGAACTGGTAATAATATCATCTCAAATATGCACAGACATTTAGCGTAAAAAAACAACAAACAATCACAACAAATGGTTTGGTGCATTTTTCCATATAATTCTAAATAGTCATACTGTAGGGCACAAATTAGTTATTATTTGGCAAAGTGAAGGTAGAACATTAAAATTATATTTTAAAAGCATTAAATAAGTGAGCAGAAATGTAGAGATATTAGGTAAGTCAGTTTCTTGTTTAATAACCATGAATTGTGATTTGAATGTTTAGGAAACAAACAACATCACACATTTGTAATCTAGTTATTCCAAATATTGTAGTTTCTATGATTTTCATGCTTTTCTGTTTTCAGGCTGTTGCCATCATGGAGATGGCTCATGGGAAAGATCACAATTATGTAGCGGAAGTCAAACGGGAAATCCAGGAGCAGAAATAAACAATGAGAGTTTAAAGAGAGACGCACTGGAATAAGGAACCTCTCAGCAGCAACAACAAAAATAAACATCACAACGCATGCTATGCATCTTATACCTCTCTGTTTTATGGTCCCCCACTTTATTGTTTTTCTTGCCTGATGGGTTTTTTTCATGTTTTTTTTTCAACATTTTATGTAACGATAATCATGTTTTCTACCTGAAACTCCATACTTCCTGTCAGACCTGGAGTCAAAGCAAACAAATAATGGTAAAAATGTTTGGAATGAAAAAAGTGACTTAAATATTTTCTGTGTGCTAAAACTCAATAAGCCCATTCAACGCGATAAAAAAATAACTTAAAACTGCCTTTAAAGCTTTCTTTTCGAGGAAGTACCCCTTTCATTTGAACGCCACATAAACTACATGTTCTGCCTGTGTTCATTAGACCCATCAACCCACGTGTTTCATCATCATTTATGTCTTCGTCAGCCGTTTCAGATGCACAGTTGTCCTCCAGAGAAATAGTTTAATGATTTGGACTTCTGTACAATCTGGTAGTTGTTATACAGGGCATTATACTGATACCCAGCCAATGCATTTTATTCTATCAACCTGATTAGCTGGCTTCATAGGTTCTTGTTTAAAATGTGAAAATATGAGGACTGACTATGCATCAGATACTCTGTAGCAATGGAGAAGAGAATGCAAAGAACTTTTCCTAAATGAATAACAAGTGGTTTGTTTGGCTTGTATGTTTGGCTTGTTTAAAGAACCAGAAAAAGTGTTGCATGTTTATGTAAAAAATGTTTCATATGAGCCTTGTTGACCAAAGAGGCCATGGGTTGAACTGATAGGAACCAGCTATAATCCTCTATTCACAGTCTATCCTTAAATAGGGGTGCTGATCTGAGACCATGCTGCTTCTTAAATCCCAGTGAGGACATTTCAACCATTACCTGACCAATGATCCTGGGTCAAGGCCACATTGCTCTCAGGAAAAAAGGAACAACACGGTAGCTTTTGTTGCCTTTTGTCTAGAAATGCATTATTGTACCTTGTTTTTTAAGCAGCATGAATGCAGATTGTCATTACTTTGGGAATGAAATTGCTTGAGTACCTGAGGGCAGATTTTAACACGCAGTATTTATTTTATATGCAGGTGATCATTTCAGAGATATCATCCTCACAAACTTTGAATTTTATGAACATTATTTAAAAATAAATTGTATCTCCCCCTTTATATCTCTGCATCAGTGTGGTCAAATCATGTTGACAACCAGGATTTTCAGAAATGCTCAAAGTTGTTCTTGTGTTTAATTGTTTTCAAAGAACCCTGACATCATTAGAAAAAAGGAGCAGTTACATGTTGTAAAACTGTCTCTCTTATGAGTGAGCATGCGGTGGCTTTCAGAAGTTTGAACTTGAAGCAATGCCAAGATCATCACCTAGGCCTTATGTTAGGGTTCTAGTTGCACTAAATCTTTTTACAATTTCTGTGACAAAATGATGTCAAAATGACATGTAAGCACATTTTGTTATGTTTTCTTAATTTATGTTCATGGACAGTTGAACTTGCTGTCTTCAAATCATGCCCCACCAGAGAAACTACAGTTATATCTAATTCCTTTATTCTTTTAAAAACCTGTTGCTTCTCCCTTTTGCTTACATTTGACTATGGACGCAGTCTTATGCATGGGTTACTGAGGGTTAGTATTCCCTTGAGTCGGCTCATATTTGTAGCAACCTCTCCAGAGGTGACACTTTTTGTAATCTGCAAAGGTGCATCTAAGGTGCCTGTCTTTTGCATACAATATGTCATTCAATAGGTCTGTTCTAATGTTTGTTTTATAAATGAAAAGGGGTTTAAAGTCTGCATAAACCATAACATATCAAAACCCTCAGTTTGTCAGATTTTAGCACTTCATTTTGTTTTAGGCCAGACTGCAGGAACATGCATATGATTGGTTTTCTGTCATGAAGAAAAAGCATGTGGCACATGGGTTAACAGTAAAATCCAAGCTCATGCCGCACAAAATCAACAACAAAAAAACAGATTAAAGGCTTTTCTGCATTTCTGTGATGACTTTTTGCTTTATGAGGCATGGATGTTATGCATAACTAAGTCTGAACCTCTGATTCTTTCTGTATTATGTCACTGAAACTCAATAAAGGGCAGTATGGCACTTGCTTCACATGTATACCTCTTTATTTCTGTTTACCTTTATTTAACCAGAAAGTCTCTATAGTGGTGTTCTGAACCACCACTATATTTGTATACACATCAGAGTTGTCCTTTATCTACATTCAAATTAGTTTCAGGAAATCCTACACCGCCCATACCAACTGATTTAATTTCCAAAAGATCTGAGGCAGATTTACTTCAGTGAACTGTTACAGTACTTCTAGACTGTTTAGTAGGCTTACTTTTCATCATGCCTGGCAGATCGTTTTCCTTAGTCAGCTGTGCAGAATTTATATATATATATTGTAGGACCTCAAATATTTAGATTACAATGTAAAATGTAGTCTTAACTTGGCTCAAGCTCAAGATGAGCTTGTCATCCCGACCTAAAGTGTATGTATCGTGGAAAACAACGAATAAGTTAGTAGGTATTTCAAAAGTCTATCTGGAGAAGACGTCCAGATATAATAAGAGGAATTATAAAAATGACCTTTCTTTTTTGTTGTTGCATTCAGCTCTACAAATTCACACCACACGGTGGCCCTGTTGGGAGGTTGGGACAAGGGACAAACAAAACTAAACCAATCTTGTTGAGTGTATGAATTACGTCACAAAAACTGTCCAATGGGCATGAAATGTTGTATGACTGAGGTCACATGAAGTAGCCAATGAGCATAGAGCTGAGTGAATTTCGATTTCCTCCGGTGAGTTTGAATTTTCCAACGAGACCAACCCCAAACAGTCTGTGTGACATAAAGAAGCAGCGCGCCCAAAGTAAGTGTGCATTTACTTTAATTTTAACTCTTGTAGCGATTCGTTTAAGCCATGAGTTTACTTCAACACAACATGCCATCTCGTTTCACAAAGCATGTTGTATCCGCCCAGCCGTTAATTTGTCGAATTGTGTTTAAAATCAAAATTAACGTTTGCTCAAGCAATTTTCAACCCAGCTAAAGTGAACGCCAGGTTAACACCAACATAAACAGACTTTGACAGTAAGTGCAGTGGCGACTATCTCAGACGTGCGTTTATTCAGTATTCTGTAAAAAATCTAGCAACATCTAGTTGCTGTCCGTTACGTTAGCTACGGTTAACTGTTACGTTTAGTTAGCAAACGCTAGCTAATCGATACACGCTAATTCCACGATGCCCACACTTTTGTAAAATAAGGCTGTCTGGGGCATAACCGTTTTATTTAACTAACTGAAAGTAATGCTAAACTCCAGCGAACGATGCTTTCAAAGTTTACGTTAACTTAGCCTAAGTGTTTGTTTATGAGATGTAGTGCATCAACGCAAGCCTGGCAAGCAATTGTTATTGTCGTTTTTGGTAACCATTAATTACCTCGTGACAGTGGCAGAGCATAACTAAGTACATATGACATATTTGTTGTTTACATGAGTATTTCCATTTAATGCTACGTTACACTTCTACTCAACTACATTTTAGAGGCAAATATTGTACTTTTTACTCCGCTGTATTTATTTTAACACTCATACTTACTAGTTACTTTATACACATAAAATACATGATATGGTAATGGTATGAAAACCATTACTGTACTACTAATCTGCGCTGGTCCACTCCACACTGACAAACTACAACACTAGAATAGAATACAAAACAAGATAATAAAATAACCATAATAATAACATGTTGTGAAAAGTTCCATTCTGATATGAGTACTTTTATTTCCAATACTTTAGGTACATTTAGCTGATAATGTTTCTGTATTTGTGTTTGATTTGTGTTTAATACATTTTGATGCTGTACTTTTACTTAAGTGAAATGTTGAACTGCCTAACGCTTAATTACGTTATGTTTAACACAAGTTGTATTTTGCACACAAGACCTGATTTACATTTGAACTATCCCTGTCCATTTTTGTGTCAGCTCATACCTAATATCTGTTACTTATGGGTCATATTGGAGTCATTAATGAGTTGCAGATTAGTAGTATTGCCTTTCCCCTTCAAATAAATCCATGTCTGTTAATTCAGGATTTAAACCATGAGCTGGGCCGTAGAGGAGTGGAAGGATGGACTTCCAGGGAAAGCCCTGCAGAAGATCCAGGAGATGGAATCCCAGCTGGACAAACTGAAGAAGGACAGGAACCAGAAGCAGTTTCAGCTGGACTCCTTAGAGGCTACCCTGCAAAAGCAGAAACAAAAGGTCAGTGTTTAAGAGGAATGCATTGTAATAAATAGATTCATTGAATAGGTGTAGATCACTTAAACTTTTGAAACCCCTTGCATAAATTACTGGTGCATTGTCCTAATGAGAGTGGATACCCAATATTCCAACATGTGCTAAAAGAAAGATTGTTGATCACTTATACTTGTTTGTCTTTCTCCAGGCGGACGGTGAACGTTCTGAGACCTCTGCTTTGAAAAGAGAGAACCAGTCTTTGCTAGAGTCTTGTGACTCTCTGGAGAAAGCTCGTCAAAAGGTCGTCCATGACCTCGGAGTCAAAGAGCAGCAGGTCAGTTACTGATGTGAGACAGAACGGAAATATCAGCTGCGGTTTATTACTATTTAATTTAAAGTTAGAATTTAGTTTAATTATATTGGACACGGTTATAAGATCACTAATACTTAACAGCCAGTAGTCATATATTTCAGATGTATTTAAAGCAAACCAACTAGATTTTTTTTTTAATCAACTGTATTGAAAGAAAACAAAAACTAATAATTGTTTTCCCGAACCTAGGTGAGCTACCTTGACGGTCAGCTGAACTCTTGCAGGAAGACCATAGAGCGACTGGAGCATGAGCTTAAGAAGTGAGTGACGATAAATTAACAAAGTTGCTGCTGCTGTTCCATCGTAAAGTACTGATTAATTCATGCTTAACATAATTAGATGTATCCTATTTGATCCTGACTTCTGAATGACTGATTACTCTTCCTTTGTTGTCTTTCCATCTGCTCAGGTACAAGAATGAACTGGACCGTTCGCAGCCTGCTGGCTCTTCCTCCTTGTCGTCCTCCTCCTCTTCTGATATTCAGCACTACACGACTCCACAGAAGAGTTACCCTACCCCAGTTTCTGGAGCAGCCTACAGGCAGCAGGGTATTTTGTTTTGTTATCATATAAGTTGTATAGTTTCCTCTCAGACTGGTTTTAATATAATTGTTAAATATATTGCTTCTTCTCATATATTTTTTTAAAGACATGTATCTTACTGACTCTTGTGTTCCATAGATAACAGACTAGATGTGCTTCAGGAGAAATACAGCCAGGAGGTGGAAGAAAGAAAAAGGCTGGAGACTGAACTCAAAGTCATGCAGGTCAAAGTGAGTACATTTATTATATTTATTGTGTGGATTTATTTGTTGTGGTCTCTTATGTTTAATTATCTCTTCTCTTCTAGATGTTGAACCAGTCCTCAGTCAGTGTTAGCCACAAGGACATAGCTGCTCGCCAAGCTGGATCTTCGATATTCCCATGGCAACAGGATCAGGCCCACAGCCGCCAGTCCCAGGATGCAATGGAAACGCCTCTGAAGAGGCGGGGAGCCTCCCTGTGGGACGCCCTGGAGGAAACTCCCATTAAAAGCAGCCAGCGGATGAGCTCTACCAGAGCGGTGCAGAGTCCCTGTGGATCCTCCCAACAGATGGAGCAGCTGAAGACACTCAACCAAGGTAGACTGTTTACACTTGATTGGGAAATAATATATTTTATAGTGTTGGTGGTATACTTTCATTTTGCACATGTACAACCTCTGAAAGATGTATTTTCAGAGGTTAAACTTTTGAGTTAAATATCCCTATTATGTCCTGCAACAACATTTCCATTATACCTTCTCATCCTCAGAGTTGCGTGGCCGTGTGTCAGAGCTGGAGAGGAACCTGTCCACTCAGGAGAAGGATATTCATAACCAGGCCTCCAAGCTGCAGGAACTTCAAACCCAACTGACCCAGGCCCGCAAAGAGCTGACTGAGCGGGACAGAGACGTGGCCAAGAACAGCCACGAGCTGAGTCAGGCCACAGACAGACACCAGCAGGTTGTGACCAAGGTAGGATCTTATGATTGGTGCATGGTAACTCTATTAATATGGGATATATTGTTTTTGTTTAATATCTGCTAGATACCCTTGTTCAATATAGGCAAGCCTGGTAAAATCAGAAGAAAACATTTGAATGACTGATAACAATTTTGCCTTTTATTCCTTAGTGTTCATCAATTGAACAGAAGCTGAAACAAGTCTCAGAGGAGATGAGCTGTCAGAGGCACAACGCTGAGAGCTGCAAACGAGCCCTGGAGCAGAAACTCAAGGACCAAGAGAGAGACAGTCAAAAGGTGCAACAGCCTAGAGCCATAATACCATCAAACCTTTCCCAAATATTATTTTCTTTTCTTAAACTTAATAAAACAACTTCTTGTCTGTTCTGTGTAGGAGCTAGCTCAGCTGCAGAATTCTCACCAGGCTTTGGACCAGCAGCTGAACCAGACCAGAACCAAGCTAACACAAGAGATCCAACAGTCTAAAAAAGAACACAATGTACTGCAGGCTGACATGGAGAAGGTAACTTTGTAACATCTCTGTTTTGCTTTCCCTTCCTCCTCTCTTAATCGTTCTTTCTTCAGAGCTATCACTGAATCCTTTGAGGATGGCACATAATCCTGTATTTATTTATTCGCCTAATATTACTGGCTACACAAATTATACTATTAATGCCGGCATACATGGACCCAACTTTAATAATTTGGATGATGGCTGTGAGAATATGGAATTTACCTTGAGGTCTGTTGCACCACCTCCCTCTTGTATTTTCTGTATGTAGGCATGCCAACTGTAGGCAACGCAGAAACTTTTGTTTAGCAGATAACATTTTCTCCAATATAAGCATGTAGTTTCCAGCTGTTTGCATCAGCTGCTGTCAATGGTTTGAGAGCATTTGTATGAGATGGATGTGTCAGACTTTCTACTCTTGTGTGTACTTCTTCCTTCTCATTTTAACTCTTCTTACCATCTTTTCCAGGCATCCTTTCAAAAGAGTCAGATAGAGAGGGAGGTAGAGGAGCACAAGCAGAAACTGCTGAGGTCAGAGCAGAGCCTCCAGGTCAGTCAGACCAAAGAGCAGGACCTCCGCAAGAAGATGGAGGTGGGTTGCTTTTCATAGAATATCCACTTCATATAATTCTACACTGACAACCACCTTGCAAATATGCTGGTCTAACTTTATTTATTCAGTCTGAACAGCCATTTCTGGCCAACTAAAAATAACATGATATGTTATCCTTATTTGTTGCCAAAAGGTTTTGGTGTACAGTATTAATCTCAACACTATGACCAGGTGTCTTTTTGCAACATTTTTGTTCTCACGGTCTCCATGTCTTCCCTTAAAGGTGGAAGAAACCGGCTCGAGATACACTTTTTGTTATATTCCATGGAATGCTCTTAACTTCCCGATAGCAATTAATATCTTAAGTGCTTTGACAAAAAATCCATTAAAAAATGTCATCAGTGGAAGCCGTGGTACTGTAAAAAGCACGACCAATCATCTGAGCCGGCCCGGCTAAAATAACTGGATGGCCTACCTGCCTGTCAGCCTTCCATCTGTGCACAAACTTATCTCGTGCCCTCATTGGTCATGTGCGCGTTCGTGTGTGTTGGAGGTGGGGCTCTGTAAGGAAGTGGCAGATTTTTTCCGGTTGTGCATTTTCAAATTCTAGCGCACTCGAGCTGGTTTCTCAAATGACCTACCCCACCTTTAACTCATGTTCTCTTCACATTTCCCTTGCCTCCAGGAGCTGCAGAGAGAAAAGAACAGTGTGACTGTTCAGCTGGATCAGAGCAGCAGGCGTCTTAGTCAGCTGGAGGAGGAGAAGAAGGGTACAGATCAGAGCTTTAAACGCACCCAGGGCTTACTAGATGACCTCAAAGGTAAGTTAGTTATAGAAACGTTAGTAGCAGAATTTATTACCGAGAATAATCTCATGTTTAACTCGTTGTCTTTTTGTTCTCAAGCTAAATCTGAAGGGCAGGCGGATGAGCTGAAGAGACTTCAGACTAAACTGGAGCAGCAGACTCAGAATTCAGCCCGAGATCTGGAACATTTGAAAAAGACACTTTCTGATGCAGAGACCAAAAATGACAGGTAAGCATAGTAGGGCTGCTCGATTATGGCAAAAATCATAATCTCGATTATTTTGGTCAATAATTGATGTCACGATTTATAAAAACGATTATCCATTTATTGGAAAAAAATGTGAACAGTATGTTTTTAACAGTTGATTACCCTGAACTTTAAGTATAATTCAACTGAAAAACCAATTTAAAAAAAAGTCTTTTTATTTCGATTATGTTGTTTTCATAATCGTTGCAAGCCAAAATCGTAATTGCAATTAAAATACGATTAATTGAGCAGCCCTAAAGCATAGTTGAACTGTTGGAAAGAACGAAATTCAGTCACATATTGTTCACCAGGGCGTCCGCGGGGTCTTAAAAAGTATTAAAAGTTGATCAATCAATTTAGTGAAAATGAAGGCTATTAAAAAGTATTAAACAGCATTTTCCAAGGTATTACATTTTGTAGCTTGTTTTCAATAAGTATATAAATTGTCCAAAGAGGTTGTATTCTACAGTGTGCCTGAATGTAATCATTGCGTAGGTGTGTAGTGTGATTCTGTGTAGTTTATTTATGGCATCCCGTTGGGTTTGACGTCATCTGAACAGGACATCGCACGCTCACTGCTTGATAGCGCGCAAAGGTCCGTTTACGCCGGTTGTTAAATCAACATCGTTATGGGGAAATGCAAGTTTGCGTCCAAATGGTTGGAAGATAAGGAGGAAGGACAATCTATACTGTATATAGTCAATGTGAGGTAAAGTGTGTCGCCAATGTAACCGGTTAAAACTCGAAGTGGCGATGAGGTCTTCAAATGTATGGAAAGGGTCTTAAAAGGTATTGCATCTGACTTCAGGATTCCTGCATATACCCTGTTAACGAATAGAAAACATACGTTACTATGATATTTAACATGCTCAACAATCATCTTGAATGTATTTATCAACGACACGTAGATCTCAGAGTGAACTGCAGAAACAGAAGCAAGAGACGGAGAGGCTGACCAACAAGTTGACAGTTTTGGAGAAGGAGAGCCAAGAGCTGCAATCCAACCTCAGTGCGAGTCAGAAGGAGAGCAAGGAACTGAAACAAGAACATCAAGTTCTGCTGGAGTGGAAGAAAGAAAAGGAGACCGTGGTTAATGAAACCGAGGCTGTGCAGAAAGTCCTCACTGACAAGATTGAAAACTTGGAGAAGAGCATCAACTCGCTAAATGAGGCCAATGAGGCAGTTAAGGTACAGGTCTATAGTTTTCCAATTAATTAACTTAAAATATGGGTTAGGAAAGATAAACTACACAGTTTAACCCTTAGATGCACGAGTGACTGGACCCTACACTCTTCCATAAGTGGGTCAAAAAGGACCTGTATTAGAATAATGTGTTATGCCATTTTGGTAAAGAAAAATCACTTATATAATATTTAGTATTATATTTTGGTTTTATACACTAGAAATATTTTATATTTAATTTTTCACTATTTAGAATTTCTGAATTTTTTTTTTTTTACATTTTGAAAAAAAACGTTTTGAACATATTGATGCAAAGATTTCCGCTATTCTGAGACCCTCACAGTATTCCAGTCCCTTTTCAAAACTCATCTCTTCTCCTCTTGTCTACTCATAGCCCCCCCCCCCATCAATCCATGCCGGTTGATCAAGTTTGATAGTCCTATACCCCTCACCCTAACCTTCTCTTATATTGTAAAGCGATTTTGAGTCCTTGAAAAGCCCTATAAAAATATAATGTATTATTATTATACTGACAGGTATCAGATCCTACTGTGTAAAATAATCTTCCTGAGAGGTGTGACTTGTGATCTAGTCTGTGTGTCCCACAGTGAATGTATTCCTGACAGCAACAGGTGATAAGAATCAAAGGTTCCCATAGGATCCCATAGAAAATGCATGTACTTATGGAAGCTTGGGGTAGAAATACAAAAACTACAATTTCTTAAAATGTAAATAAAAATTTTGAATGGCATGATATCCAAAACATGTTTTTTGAGGAATAGCTGGAATATAAAATGATAAAAAAAATGATTAATTTCAAAGATACTTCAAGACAACCACCTCACCGGGTCAAAAAAGACCCACTTATGCATCTAAGCGTTAGTCATTGATAAGAACCTGTTTTTTATTCTGTCGTCTAGTGCATCATAAGACGTGTTGATGTGTATTTATTTGCCATTAATTAACCCTGGCTTTTGAGAATTTGTGGGCTGATGCATTTCTTCTCGCTATTGTAGAAGCAGCTCACGTGTGTCGAGGGAGACAAGGCCCGTCTGTCTGCTCACATCGATTCCCTGAAGGGAGAACTTCTGAACAAGAGCACAGAGTTGGAGGAGAGGGAGCATCAGTACAACCAGCTTCAGTCTAAATTATCAGAGGTTGGACAGAAGCACATCAAAGACCTGGAGAATGTGGCTGTGCAAGTGGCCCAGCTTGAAGCACAGGTGATTTATTATATTGCTGTTTTTTATTTATTGTTTTTGTTCAATTGATAGTTCATTTTACACGTTGAATGTGTTAATTGGAAAACAAGATATCCCTCCTTTCCATTATGTAATGGGTTCATAAACATTCTCCCTGCATTTTGAAGCTTTTTAAAAAAAGATTCTCATAATTTTAACGGCTCAGGATACCAAATAACACCATTTTAAAGCTGGCTGTCCCTAAAGCAATAGAATAAACAGCCATCGATTACATGTATTCCTTGTTTGTCCTCGAGCTAACTCTATTATCGGCACAGGTCAAAGCTCTGGAGTTGCGGTTGCAAAGGGAAACAAGTCGAGCAGAGCAGGCGGAGAAGACGATCACAGAGCTGCAGGGGGAGCACCAGTCCGCCTGCGACCTCGCTCACTCCAAAGATCAGCTGGTGGAGTTAGGCCAAGCTGAGATCAGCCGGCTGAGAGACAGCCTCGCTCACACCTCTGCACAGCAAGAGGAGCAAGCTGCCAGGTGGGAGTTCAGTTTGTGGTTCAATTACTAATATTGAATCAACTCTTTCTAACAGCCCTTTAATGAATCTAACTTTGACAAACTTCACAAATTAAGTTTTGCTGAGACGGCATCACTGTGTAACACATGATTAAGAGGACATTTGATTTTGCCACTATAAAATACTTATGTGTATCCTATAGGGATGGGTATCTTTTATGCATTCTGCTTATCGGTCCGGTCTTTTAACGGTACTCTTATCGGTTGTTTTGGGAGAGAAAAAAGGAGGTAAACTAACTAAACAAATTGTGAACAAAATAACTTTTTATTTAAATTAAATAAATAATATTTCACATCAAAAGAAACAACAATGTTTTAACAAATCGTATTAAATAATCTGATGACAGAACTGTAAACAGAACAGCTGAAACACAAAATAAATAACTCAGTTACCTCTAATCATTAACCCATGTTTGTATAATCTAGTTAACTCCGTGTGTTGCTGCTAGCATACATAACACCTGACGTGGAAACGTTACTCGTGGATGGGGCTACAGAGCTGCTAGAAAGACAGTCGAACCCGGTGCATTTCTCCGTCTGAATGTGGTGCACTTTCGCTAAATGTTTTGACAAATTGCTCGTGTTACCGCCCTTACATGCTGAACTCTTATTGCACTTTTGGTAACGAGCATTGTCCACATCGAGGCGGGTAAAGTTTAACCACACCTCGGAGCGCTTAGTTCTCTCCGCCATCTCCGCCGTGTGTGTGTGTGTGTGTGTGTTGCTGCATGTAGCAGTTGCGTGTGTGTAAACTGCCCCGCCCCCTCGCGCACAGACGGGGGAGAGAGATCTCTCGTCTGGATGGAAAGATCAAAAATACAAAAAATAATCATAGACTCTTTTTGCGTATTAGAAACGGAGTTGTCGACACTAAAACTGCAATATAATGTTTGTGTAGCATAACACATATGACATAGCTATGTTTTAGATGTATCCAGTACCGATAAAAAGAACGATAACGTCGGAGCTTAACGGCACCATGGTCTTTAATAATTCCGCCCCGGGGACCCTTTAATACCGGGGCTCGGTACCCATCCCTAGTATCCGATGATACAAGTATGACATGGTACTGTAACCCCATTGGTTCCTTAGGTAAATAATAATTATGTTTTGCTTCTAACATGCATATTCTTTTTCTTGGTGTCTAATCTCCACCAGGTTGGCCGAGGAGAAGGCGGCCCTGCTGAAGCAGTGTGAGGAGAGTGTTTCAGAGAAGGTTGAAGAGACCGAGACGCTCAAGCTGCAGCTGGAAGAAGTTCAGCAAGCGCTGCTGCTCACCCACAAACAGGTCTGTTTAATAATAGTTTCTGTGACAGTCCAATTAATTAAACAGATTACCCATTATTTAGTTAACACATTGTCATTTCTTTTGGATGAGTACATTATGTATGAATATCTTTGCTATCGTACATTTTATTTGTGGCTGTGGCGCATTGGGACTAGTGCGTTGGTGTTGGGATCAGGGGAGCACAGGTTCAAACCCCACTGCAGTCAGCATGTCGTTGTGTCCCTGGGCAAGACACTTCATCCCAAATTGCTCCTGTGGGGATTGCCCACAGTATTGAGTATGTAAGTCGCTTTGGATAAAAGCGTCCAACATGTAATTTGTATACGTATTATTATATCTTGCAATAGAAGAAGAGTATGTTGTGTGTCTCTGATTTCTGACGGATCACATTTGGTCGGTAAGTTCTATATTTTTGGGGGTATTTTTCCTTACTTTTGTCCTTGTGTTTCAGATCAGTTCCACGCATCATTTGCTAAAGGTCCAGGAGCAACTGGGAGCTGAGCTTCAGAAACAAATCAAGACGTTGTCTGACAAAGAAGAGGAACACAAGAAGATGCATGAGAAGAAATCAGAAGAGCTCAAAGAGTTAGAGGGGGAGCTGAAGGGTCTGCAGAGCCACGCAGAAGCGACGGAGAAGCAGCTCGGAGAGGCGGACGCTCACATTTTGTCTCTGGAGAAACAAACGGCTGAGCTGAAAAATATAGCTCAAGAGATGAAGAAGGAGGCCGAGGTAAAATAGTCCCCAAAAAATGTATTATGGTTTGTCCATGCTTCATATGTTTTCATACTGTGTATACCAGGGCTATTCAATTGGCGGCCCGCGGGGATATTTACTGGCCCTTTGAGTATAATGTTAAAAAGTAATCATCAAATTTGATTTATTAAGATTTTTGGGCCAGAGTGCCTTTATTCCAGAGAGGGTGTTAAATTGAGAGATAGAGGGGAAGACATTGCCTGAAAACTTCGGCGGGCTCGGGTTTCGAACCCACCTACTAGCTACTGTAGTGACAACTGTCATTTATTGCATCTCTGCGTGAATGATTAGATAATTTCACCTAAATCAAATTAAATGATGTTGATGGTTAAATTAGCTTCACATGTAGGCCTACTGAGTTCTGAACTTGCCATTTAGATCTCTAAAGGCCTTGGGGCTATGTTGTTTGATTTAATTAAACACAATATATGCACTCCACTATGCTGTTGTAGTATTTACTGTATCTGAAGCTCTTAATATGATTGCTCATATTTCAAGCCATCTTTTCCCCGGCCCCTTGCTTTGGATCATTTTCATCAACCGGCCCCATTCCAAACTAATTGAATAGCCCTGGTGTATACCATGACCTGTGTTTCTCACAAGTAATGATTCATTCTGTTTCTTATGAAGAACCTCCAGCAGTCTCACACTGAGAAGATCAACTGCCTTTTGGAGCAGATATCTTCCTTACAAGAGGAGCTGACTGCGAGCAAAGACGAAGCAGAGAAGCTCCCAGCCTTGGAGAAAGAACTGGAAGTGTTCAACCAGTCCCATGCTGATCTTAAGAAGCACCTAGAAGCTCTTGAGAAGATTCACTCCTCTACTATTGAAATCAAATCCAACTTGGAGAACACCATGAACGAGAAAAACAATCTAATCTGTAATTTGGAGAAGGAGCTTGGAGAGAAGGCGAGCAAAGAGTCGGCAAATCACGCTGTGGAGGTTGAAAATATGATCAACAAAGAGAAGATCCTCAAAGAGAAGCTTGAGGCTGCGAGGAAATTATTTAATTCTTCAAAGACAGAATCAAGTACTCGACGGGGAGAGATCAAGACCATGAAGACGACTCTGTCTGCTGCTTCACACGGCTTAGAAGAGAGAGACAACGAGATAAAGAGTCTGAAGGAGAAGCTCAATAACGCTGAGGCAGAGCAGGCTAAAACATCAGATCTCTTGAAGGAGAAGATGGTTGCCATGCACAAAATCAAGGTTGGTTACTGATGTACTCTGGTGTGTCACTTTTGCCTTGTTGGTGTTGTAACGAATCAGAAAATTCAAAAACGTTTTGTAATTGTTCACATTAAGGTTCAGCTGCAGATGCTTCAAATGGACCTGGAGGACAACGAGACAGTCGTGAACACTTGTGAAAGTCAGGTGAAGGAACTGAAGGGAACCATAGAGTCGCTGGAGGCTCAGCTGACTCACAACAACACCCATATGACTGACATGGAGGCAAGACTGGAGGACAGCCAAGCCCAGGTAGAGTCACAGTTACACTCAAATCTGTCCAAATCATTTTGTGCCACAGATTGTAGACTTACTGTGGAGATAACCTTTCATCATTTGGAGCTCAAGAGGCGCTTTCACACCAGTACTTTTCCCGTTTAGTTCCAATAGTTCCTGGGATTTTGCGTTCACACCAAAAAGAGAACTTAGTTCATGAGAACTTTTACCCCCTTTTTAGTCCCTGCTAGAGAGCAGGGACTTTCCTGGGGAGAAAAAAGTTCAGATTTCTGATTGGCTGGGCGAATTGCAAACCACGCCCCGTAAAACTCAGAAAAGTTTTGTGGAGCCGCCATTGTATTTGCTGGCATTAGCATTATTAGCATTAGCCCCACGCACCAACGGAGAGAGAATAACTTATGGCAACACAAAAGAAAACATGGGAGCGGTGGCCTGATGAGGAGGTGTTGGCGTTCTGGCGATTTACTCAGAAGGTACTGGGAGTCCCAGCAGCTTCTACTGAAGCCAGTCCCCAACCCCGGGGACTTCCGGCCGGGGACTTCGGGTGGCAGTATACGCCGTGAAGTTGTTTGCGGCCTGCCAGTAAACCCAAAGCAGAAGAAGTGACGTCAGCGGCTTCATTTGCGTAATCTCCCTCAGGGACTTATTCCGGTGTGAACGCGATCGGCTCTTTAGTTCCATGGGGGTAGTACTAAGAGCTGGGAACTAAGTACGGCAAAGTACTTGGTGTGAAAGCGGCATTGTCTCATCAATGAATTGTCTAAACTTCAGGCAGCAAACTGGCATCATCTTTGCCAGCTCCTGTTGCTCTGTAGGCAAGCAAACATACCTAATTAGATTCAATCTACAATTATTTTCAGGTCTCTGTCCTGGAAACCCGTTTAGAAGATGTCCAATCCCAGAACTCGTTGCTGGAGACGCAGTTTGTCACAGCGAGGGACGAGCTGATGGAGAGGAGCTATGAAATTACTCGTCTCGAAGAGGACGTCGCCAATCAGAAACAGCTGGAGGAGAGCGTTGCTACTTTTGAGTCTAGGCTCTGTCAGGCCACAGAGGAAAATGTCAAGTTAGAGACAACTCTCAGGCAGGTCATTGAAGACAAAGATAATAGTCTTAACCAGTTACAACAAGAGAGAAACTTCCTTGAAGCTTCTTTGAAACAGGTAACAGATGATAAAGAGAAAGTAGAAACTGAAATGATTCGAGTAAATGCAGAGAAGAAACAGCTGGAGGTCAGTTTGGATGAGCTTTCTGAGAAGAACAAACAACTGCAGAACAACATTCAGCAGTTAACTGAGGAAAATCAGAAGGTCGATGAACTCACCGCTCAGAAACAAGTCGCTGAATCAACTCTGAGACAGGTCAACGAGGAGAAGGCCCACCTCGATGTTACCCTCACTCTAATTACTGAGGAGAAAGTCCAACTCGAGGCTAAACTAAACGAGCTAGCCTCTGAAAAGCTTCAGCTAGAAGATAATTATAATCAGCTGACCGAGGAGAAAATCAAACTACAGTCTAGTGTGGATCAAGTCACCGAGGAGAAAATCAAACTACAGTCTAGTGTGGATCAAGTCACTGAGGAGAAAATCAAACTACAGTCTAGTGTGGATCAAGTCACCGAGGAGAAAATCAAACTACAGTCTAGTGTGGATCAAGTCACCGAGGAGAAAATCAAACTACAGTCTAGTGTGGATCAAGTCACTGAGGAGAAAATCAAACTACAGTCTAGTGTGGATCAAGTCACCGAGGAGAAAATCAAACTACAGTCTAGTGTGGATCAAGTCACCGAGGAGAAGCTGCTGCTACAAGACAGCATAGAGCGGTGGGGAGACGAGGTGGCTTCACTTAAAGAGCAGCTGGAGAGGATGGAGAAGAGGACCGAGGAGGAGAACAGAGAGAGGTACAGTTTGATATACAAGTAACATTTTTATGTATGTATGTGTGTATATATACATTTTTTTTTTTTTAAAAGCACAAATAATGCAATGAAAACAGATATTTCTTCTACCACAAGTTACTAGTCATTTTTCGGGGGTAAACAAACCGTTATTGACATGTCTGTGGGTTTATTTTATGAGCTCAAGTATTGCAGCTCAATGTCTTTTGAACCCTCATATTCTGTACATTAAATCAAGTTTAGAACTTTTTGTTTTTACATGAATGTGTGTTCACTTCCACCATTTTATAAATCCCATGTATCACAGGAACCGACAGTTTGAGGCGGAGCAGGCCGAGCTGCATCAGAAGTTGGCGAGTTTACAGACGGAGCTGACTGAGTTGAAGCTGCAGTACGACTCCCTGCTGGAGCAGGTGGGCCAGCAGCACAACCTCATACAGCAGCTCTCTGGACCACAAGGTACCCAGAACCCAGGAGAACAAATCATCCACATGGAGAACCAGGAGACATTGGATATTGTTGGTGAGTGTGAACCAAAACTGCTTTTAATTCAGATAAACATATTTACATTTATATTTAATAATCGTGTTTTCCCCCCCATCAGAAGCAGCAGGACAGATTGATGTAGAGCCGACACTTGATACGAGCACCAGTCTTGAGTCCCTTCCAGTAAATGAACAGCTGAGCCCTGAGGTGTCTGAACTGGATGAACTGGAACTTTCCCACCATTCTGACAAGGACTTCAGGTACAATGCGTTTTATAAAACCCCCAATACATTATTATTAGGGATGGGTACCGGGCCCCGGGGCTGAATTATTAAAGACCGTGGTACCGTTAAGCTCCGACGTTATCGGTCTTTTTATCGGTAACATTTTTTCATATGTATTATGCTACACAAACATTATATTGCAGTTTTAGTGTCGCCAACTCCGTTTCTAATATGCAAAAAGACAAAGAAATGCGTCTATTTTTTTTTTTATTTAATCGTTTATTTGAAGAGGGACAATGCATTAGGGATGGGAACGATTATTCAGGTATTCGAATAATTATTCGAATATGAGTTATGAATATATTTTTTGGGGAGTGATGCCTAAGTTGATTACATATTATCAAATTGAATAATTCAATGTGTATATATATATATATATATATATATATATATATATATATATATATATATATACGACAGTGCCATAGCTAAATGTGTTAGTTGACGTCTAAAGGTGTGTTTTGCTCCGCTCACCGGTCTCTCACAGCGGGCAGAGCTGCAGGTGCTGATCTCTCGCGTCCGGTTATACTTACTCGTGTTTATGTCCAAATCCATCAGATCTAGCTAGTTCTAGCCAATGATATGGCTGCTGCCCCTCCCTACACGCAGATCACGCAGACTCGAACCCAAATTTGGCGCAAATGCGCTCCGCAGCCGTTGTGAGGTTCTGGCGCTAACAGTTCATGAGCGTACTCCCCCGCCCCCTGTCAACACTCGCGACACATGAGTGGCCAGCCTAAACAACAATAAGCGCTGCTTGGCAACCGTGTGTGGTGGCAAAGTACATAGACATTTTGACTGGAGAGATTTAGTTTTGCCGGTATTCAACATATTTTACCAGTCATAGTCCGGTAATTATTTACACTCTAAGAAGAGTCCTACACAACAGACATGGCGTCAAAAAGGAGTAATGTGTGGAAATATTTCGACCAGGTTAGTGAGTGTGGTGTAGAGGTCAAACTATGCCAAATTAAACTTATATACACATGCTATACCTTGCTATACCAGCAACCTCCATTCCAGCTGAGAGGGTATTTTTACCCAATTTTTTTTTTATAGGATATGTACATTTCGGTTAACCGTTTTTTGGGGGGTCCAATATTCGAATATACATTTGCTTTCAAATTCCCATCCCTACAATGCATATTGATGAACATTTAAAACAAATAATGCTTTAAACGTAAACATGCTGGATTTTAGCTTTGAGCTAATTTCCATTCGTAGTCCCTCACATACAACATTTAAGAACCTGACATTTATATACATAGCAAAAATAAATACATGATATGCTGAAAGAGCATGAGCAGTATACACAAGCATTTAACACATGGCAGTACAATGTAGCAGCTACGACATATAAAGTGCAGGAGAAGATAAAAGTGCTACATAAAGTGCCAGAGGAGATACCCCGGTATTAAAGTGCATTTAGTGGTGATTGCACGTTCGTTTGTTTCTCAACCATTCTTTTAGTTGACCTTTTTAAAACTGTTCAAAGTGGGACAATCCCGTAACTCAGTTGGGAGGCTATTCCACAATGAGCTGCTCTTAATTATGATTATTTTTAGTATTTTCGATCTTTCCAATCCAGCCGAGATCTCTCTCTCTCCCGCCTGCTTGCGAGGGGGCGGGGCAGTTTACACACACGCAGCTGCTACATGCAGCAACACACACACATGGCGGAGAGAACTAAGCGCTCCGAGGTGTGGTTCAAATGTACCCGTCTCGATGTGGACAATGCTCGTTACCAAAAGTGCAATAAGAGTTTAGCATGTGAGGGCGGTAACACGAGCAATTTGTCGAAACATTTATCAAAAGTGCACCACATCCAGATGGAGAAATGCACCGTTTTCGACTGTCTTTCTAGTAGCTCTGTAGCCCCCTCCACGAGTAACGTGTCCACGTCAGGTATTATGTATGCTAGCAGCAACACACGGAGTTAACTCAATTATACAAACATGGGTTAATGATTAGAGGAAACTGAGTTACTCTTTTGTTAAAGTTTCAGCTATTCTGTTTACAATTCTGTCATCACATTATTTAATACGATTTGTTAAAACGTTGTTTCTTTTGATGTGAAATATTATGTATTTAATTTAAATAATTAAATACATAATTATTATCCTGTTGTTTTTTTTATAATGTGATCAATAAATCTAATCTTTTAACCTGGCAGTGAGACAGAGCTGGTGTTCAAGGAGGACATCAGTGAGCAAGAGATGATCCAGGAACAGCTGGAGGAGGAGAGGGAGGCACGTGTGGCAGATGTTGAGGAAGCGAGCTGTAACGAGGAGAAGCATCAGGTAGACAATTAATACAAAGTCTGTCAGTTTTTCAGTAACGATCCTGTAATGGGTATATGTTCAGGGGTACTTCATTTATTGATTTATCATACATGTACTCGGGTACTTGATAGTTGTGACTGATATGTCTTTACTACCTATTGACTGAATTGATTATGTCATTGTTCGAATTTCATCTTGTTTCTTGAAGCTTCCTGAAGACAGCAGTAGTCCCAAAGTTGTCCCTGAAAGCACACCTGAAATCTGTGAGATGTCTCTATCACCATCATCCATTGGGGAGAGCAGACACTTGGAGTCCATTGGTGAGTAATTGAATGGTGCTCTTGACTCTTATCAATTACAGATTTTGTTCTTACGATATTAACTTTGTTTTACACTAGGGATAGTACTAATCTCAAAGTTCTCTGCAAAATACTTACATTGTTCAATTCTGCTACTTAGTATTAACCTGTTCAACCCCCAGCCCCCGCCCGCGTTTTATTTTTCACGAAACTGTGTCTCAGGGCTTCTTAACATTTAAAAACCTATTAATTAGTACATTATTACATATCGGATCTGCACAAACAAGACATCAGATTAAAGCTGAGATTCTACAGGTATTAGTATCATCACTGAGCGATCAGAACTCGACAGGGGAAGCAAAAACAGACATTACAACACGGAGCTTTACAGGCATTCTGGCTACGCATCACTCATTCACCAATGGGTAATGTTTAGATGGATTGTAGGAACTTCCCCTTGATTCTATTGGTTCTAACGGTTAAAAAGAGATGTCAATCATCAAAATCGAACGAGGGGGGCCGGAGATATGGCAAATCCATCCAAATGACCCCAGAAGTGTTTTTTTTTTTCTAAATCTCTCTAAAAAGGTCAAATGTCACTTGTTTTGCATCAATCTTGATACAGGGTACTTATTATATGTTGTACTTTGGATTCCTAAAGCTTTTAGTCTACCATCCCATAATTCAAGGGTGGTTTTCACTAGAAGTAATGGGGTTTATTTGGACAGAAACTATAATTTACATTTTTTTACTATGTTCAATCTGAATTTACTCTAAAATAAAAACATTCTATATTGATTCTGACTTTTCTACATCCAACTCACAGGTTTATCATTGCTTTGAGAAAAAAGATTATTAATTTACCCATTTTTAGAATTGAAGTTATAGTCATTTGTTCTGGGAATGTCATTTTCGAGCCTGAGACCTGAAAAACAGGCTCAGGGCTTAACAGGTTAAAGTGATAATTAAAAAAAGAAAAAAAGTTTAGAACTTAAAAATGAAGCTACTTGCTATTGCTAAGGCAAGAAGAGTCACAACCTTGGTTAGACTCCCAGGGTCACAGACTTAATGATGATTTAGATACAATCTGATTCGCACTACATTCGTACAACTTTAAGTCTGTACAATTTTGTTTAAATGTCTTTTAAAGAGTCATCCCAGGTCCAAGCTGACACAGCTATGATTACAAAACAAGAACTCCAGACCCTGCGCTCAGACTTTGATTCACTGAGTTCGGACCTGGCACTGAGAATGGAGTTGACCTCCGAACTGGAAGTCCAAGTTCAAAACTTAGAGACGAAACTTCAAGCAACAGAGGAGCAGGCACAGGGTGCAGCGCATAAGCTGAGCATCGCTGTGGAGGAAAAGAAAGTCGCTGCTGACCAGGTATGAGCAAAGAAATTGTAGAATGAATGCCACTTAAATAACAAATGACAAGTTTACACTTCAAAGATAATAATACCATGTTCTAATTGTAGTTGTTCCAGCTGTCAGAAGAGAGGGAGACCTTAACTCAGCAGCTGCAAACGGCTAAATTCCAGCTGACTGATGTGATGGAAATGATGGAAGGACTAGAGATGGCCAAAGGTAAATATCTCTCTGCATGTGAGGGATTAACTTCATCATACTAGATTATTTCCGGATCTTAAACATCAGTCCTCAACAAGGTGCTAAATGTTAAATACATCTCGTTGTGAGTGCCTGCAATTAAAGAGCAACCGTAGTTTGTGTTCATATGTTTAGGAGCAGCTTACACTTCCCTGCACAGAAAGGGAATGTGCAGGCTTTAAGGTCTGTTCTTTGCGTGTTGGTATTGATTAGACACTTTCCTCGGTTCTGTAGGTGGTTGGGACGAGAAATTCCTTCAGCAGGAGAGTGAGCTGAGGAGGGTTCGCTCTGAGAAAGCTAACCTGGAGCAGCACATCCTGGGCATGGAGTCTGAGCTGGAGACCTTGCAGGGGCAGAGGAGCAAACTGGGGACTGAGATGGAGACGCAGAGGAGGACATGTTCAGGCATGGAGCAGCAGATAGAAACTCTCAGGACAGAGGTGAGCACTCGTCAAGAGCTAAAACAACATTGTGTTTTTTAAGCCTACTGATCCATTAGTGTTGCATTACTATTCTCAATCCTTCATTTTCTCCAGACAACCCAGCTCAGGTCTGAACTTGTGTCCTGCACCGAGGAGCGAGACGACCTGAACCAGTCCATGGGCCAATGGAGAGACAAAGTTCACAACCTGGAGAACACAAACTGTGACACCAGAAACCTAATCTCCATCCTGGAGGATGACGTCAGAGCAGGGAGGAAGGAGTATGAAGCCCTTCAAAGCAGCATGGAGAAACTGAAGACTGAGAGGCAGCAGGTATTTACATGTAACATTAAAGTGACATTGTGTCACTTAAAATATGTGGTGCAGGTCGAAAGAAACATTTATTTAGAAGTGGCTTACATTGGTGCAGGGTGTCCGTGGGGTATTAAAAAGTATTAAACAGCATTTTCCAAGGTATTACATTTTGTAGCTTGTTTTCAATAAGTATATAAATTGTCCAAAGAGGTTGAATTCTACGGTTTGCCTGAATGTAATCATTGCGTAGGTGTGTGGTGTGATTCTGTGTAGTTTATTTATGGCATCCCGTTGGGTTTGACGTAATCTGAACAGGACATTGCACGCTCACTGCTTGATAGCGCGCGAAGGTCCGTTCACGCCGGTTGTTAAACAACATCGTTATGGGGAAATGCAAGTCTGCGTCCAAATGGTTGGAAGATAAGGAGGAAGGACAATCAATACTGTATATAGTAAAGTGTGTCGCCAATGTAACCGGTTAAAACTCAAAGTGGCGATGAGGTCTTAAAATGTATGGAAAGGATCTTAAAAGGTATTACATTTGACTTCAGGATTCCTGCATATACCCTGCTGGTAGCATTAAGTGAAGTCCACAAGTCTGTCATCTTGTTAGGTTGGCTTCATCAGGCCAGAGGCACAAACTCCAGATGGGTATCTTGACCTTGTGTTTGTTTTCTTCTCATATTTGAAGCTGCTGGATCAGGTTAAGGCACTGGAGCAGGCAATATCCCATCAAAGTGGAGAAAGAGATGAGCTGATCGGGAAGCTGGACCAAATCCAAGAAGATCACACATCAGCCGATAACAACACGGAGTCCATGTTCGGCAAGATACAGGTGAGGGGCTGTTACTTGTTGTGTTTAAGTTTCCTCATTATCAAAAAGCTTGCTATTTTATGTTTTATGTTTTCAAAGCATTATCAATTAGATTTAAGTTTAGATTACATACACCAAAATACCCCCTAATTGTTACTCCTCTTTCTCCTAAAGGCGTTACAGGGAGAAGTGTGCCGCCTCTCACAGTCTCTGGAGTCTTCTCTTCTGGAAAAGGGAGAGATTGCCTCTCGTCTGAACTCAACACAAGAGGAGGTCCAGCAGATGAGGACTGGGATTGAAAAGCTCCAGGTTCGCATCGAGTCAGACGAGAGGAAGAAAAAGAAGATGGGAGAGATGCTCAAAGGTGACTCTTAACATCTTTGAAATGACAAAACCTATTGAGTTGTGTGATGTGGGGTGAGGTGGTGTCTGTGTGAGGTGGTGTCTGTGTGAGGTGGTGTCTGTGTGAGGTGGTGTCTGTGCGGGGTGGTGTCTGTGCGAGGTGGTGTCTGTGCGGGGTGGCGTCTGTGCGGGGTGGCGTCTGTGCGGGGTGGCGTCTGTGCGGGGTGGGGTGAGGTGGTGTCTGTGTGGGGTGGTGTCTGTGCGGGGTGGGGTGAGGTGGTGTCTGTGTGGGGTGGTGTCTGTGCGAGGTGGGGTGAGGTGGTGTCTGTGTGGGGTGGTGTCTGTGCGGGGTGGGGTGAGGTGGTGTCTGTGTGGGGTGGTGTCTGTGCGAGGTGGTGTCTGTGCGGGGTGGTGTCTGTGCGGGGTGGCGTCTGTGCGGGGTGGCGTCTGGGGTCTGTGCGGGGTGGGGTGAGGTGGTGTCTGTGTGGGGTGGTGTCTGTGCGAGGTGGGGTGAGGTGGTGTCTGTGCGGGGTGGCGTCTGTGCGGGGTGGCGTCTGTGCGGGGTGGCGTCTGTGCGGGGTGGGGTGAGGTGGTGTCTGTGTGGGGTGGTGTCTGTGCGAGGTGGGGTGAGGTGGTGTCTGTGCGGGGTGGCGTCTGTGCGGGGTGGGGTGAGGTGGTGTCTGTGTGGGGTGGTGTCTGTGCGGGGTGGGGTGAGGTGGTGTCTGTGTGGGGTGGTGTCTGTGCGAGGTGGTGTCTGTGCGGGGTGGCGTCTGTGCGGGGTGGGGTGAGTGTGGGGTGGGGTGAGGTGGTGTCTGTGTGGGGTGGTGTCTGTGCGGGGTGGTGTCTGTGCGGGGTGGCGTCTGTGCGGGGTGGGGTGAGTGTGGGGTGGGGTGAGGTGGTGTCTGTGTGGGGTGGTGTCTGTGTGGGGTGGCGTCTGTGCGGGGTGGCGTCTGTGCGGGGTGGGGTGAGGTGGTGTCTGTGAGAGGTGGTGTCTGTGAGAGGTGGTGTCTGTGAGAGGTGGTGTCTGTGAGAGGTGGTGTCTGTGTGGGGTGGTGTCTGTGAGAGGTGGTGTCTGTGTGGGGTGGGGTGAGGTGGTGTCTGTGTGGGGTGGTGTCTGTGAGAGGTGGTGTCTGTGTGGGGTGGTGTCTGTGTGGGGTGGGGTGAGGTGGTGTCTGTGTGGGGTGGGGTGAGGTGGTGTCTGTGAGAGGTGGTGTCTGTGTGGGGTGGTGTCTGTGAGAGGTGGTGTCTGTGTGGGGTGGTGTCTGTGTGGGGTGGGGTGAGGTGGTGTCTGTGTGGGGTGGGGTGAGGTGGTGTCTGTGCGAGGTGGTGTCTGTGTGAGGTGGTGTCTGTGTGGGGTGGTGTCTGTGTGGGGTGGGGTGAGGTGGTGTCTGTGTGGGGTGGGGTGAGGTGGTGTCTGTGTGAGGTGGTGTCTGTGTGGGGTGAGGTGGTGTCTGTGTGGGGTGGGGTGAGGTGGTGTCTGTGAGAGGTGGTGTCTGTGTGGGGTGGTGTCTGTGTGGGGTGGTGTCTGTGTGGGGTGGGGTGAGGTGGTGTCTGTGTGGGGTGGGTGAGGTGGTGTCTGTGTGGGGTGGTGTCTGTGTGGGGTGGGGCGAGGTGGTGTCTGTGCGAGGTGGTGTCTGTGCGGGGTGGCGTCTGTGTGGGGTGGGGTGAGGTGGTGTCTGTGTGGGGTGGGGTGAGGTGGTGTCTGTGCGAGGTGGTGTCTGTGTGGGGTGGGGCGAGGTGGTGTCTGTGCGAGGTGGTGTCTGTGCGGGGTGGCGTCTGTGAGGTGGTGTCTGTGTGGGGTGGGGTGAGGTGGTGTCTGTGAGGTGGTGTCTGTGTGAGGTGGTGTCTGTGCGAGGTGGTGTCTGTGCGAGGTGGTGTCTGTGTGAGGTGGTGTCTGTGCGAGGTGGTGTCTGTGTGAGGTGGCGTCTGTGCGGGGTGGTGTCTGTGTGAGGTGGCGTCTGTGTGAGGTGGTGTCTGTGTGAGGTGGCGTCTGTGTGAGGTGGCGTCTGTGCGGGGTGGTGTCTGTGTGAGGTGGTGTCTGTGTGAGGTGGTGTCTGTGTGAGGTGGTGTCTGTGTGAGGTGGTGTCTGTGCGAGGTGGTGTCTGTGTGAGGTGGCGTCTGTGCGGGGTGGTGTCTGTGTGAGGTGGCGTCTGTGTGAGGTGGTGTCTGTGTGAGGTGGCGTCTGTGTGAGGTGGCGTCTGTGCGGGGTGGTGTCTGTGTGAGGTGGTGTCTGTGTGAGGTGGTGTCTGTGCGAGGTGGTGTCTGTGTGAGGTGGCGTCTGTGCGGGGTGGTGTCTGTGTGAGGTGGCGTCTGTGTGAGGTGGTGTCTGTGCGAGGTGGTGTCTGTCTAACTGTTTTGATTCACCCCTCTAGCTGCCCAGAGGAAATCTGACTCGCTGCAAGATCGCATTGCTGTCCTGGAGCGAGAGAAGGAAGACCAAGAAGAGAGTCTAGAGGAGGCTGTGCTTCAGGTAGTCTCAAACATGCATATGTTTAAAAAATAACCACTGCATCCTTCTTGCATTGTAATGTCTCAATTTAACCATTGTATGGAAGAAACTCACATGACGTAAAATGCCAACATTTGCTTAGTAGTAGTAGAACCTTTATTTAGCCAGGAAAATCAATTAAGAACACGTTCTTATTTTCAATGATGACTTGACAGGAGGCAAAAGGCTTCCTGAGGGGTTGGGAGGAAGAAAATAAAAAGACAGACTCCTGGCACTACAGAACCCAGGAGATGACACAGAGCAGAGATGGCATAGCAGTTAAACATAACATATCTAAAATAATACTGCTGGAGTTCGATCAGTCATTAAACTAATATAGAACATTCATTCCTTCATGGCAATGCATACTATAGGAGAGGTCAAGACATTAGTTTGTGTTAAATGAATGTTTGATGTTCCTACACAGGCTGAGACAGCCACAGCTGAGCTGGAGGAGGAAAGGATAAAGGTATATTCACTTTCATTAGTGTTTGGCTTAATGTTGGCCTTTCTTATGTATCTATATGTTCTCAATACCAAACAATATATTAATCCGATGTCTCGTATATTTTCTCTTATGCTGCTTTTTCCCTTTCCATGCTGATTGTCTTCTCCTCCTTTCTGAACTCTGCTGCTGCTGTCTGTCTTTGACCTTCCCCTCCTCCAGGTAGAGGAGGAGAAGAGGGAACTCACCGAGAAACTTTCCGAGCTGTCTGCCACACTGGACGACCTGAGATCTGAGAAAGGACACATGGAGAGAGAGCTGGAGACAAAGAACAGAGAGATAGAAGAACTGAAGTCCGCTAAGGAGCAGCTGGAGAGAGGGTTGGAGAAGGCAGAGGTGGAGAGAAGAGAGGGAGAGGAAAGGCAGAAAGAGCTGGAGAAAGGAATGATAGAGGAAGCTGAGCGGCAAACAAGGAACATGTGCGACCTCCAGGCACAGCTGGAAGCCTCCCAGCAGAGAGAGACCTCCCTGGAGCAAAGGGGTGCAGAAACAGAAGGGGAGAGAGAGAGGCTGCAGTCTCTGCTGGTGGAGATGGAGAAAGAGAAATCCTGTCTGCACACTTCTCTGGAGGAGTGGGAGAAGGAGAGTAACAACCTGAAGAACAGTATTAAGGCTTTAGAGGAAGAAATAAAGGAGCTCCAAACACATATTAAAGAAGGAAAAAGGGAAATGCTGGAGAGGGAGGCAGAGCAGAAGAACGCTTCAGTAAAATCCATCCAGGAGGAAGCGCTCTCGACTCTGTCTTCAGTGGAACAAGAGAGAGATCATCTGCAGTGCACTCTTGCATCTGTAGAAGGAGAGAAAGAAAGGCTGGAGCAAGAGAGGGGGGTGTTAGCTGAAGAGAAAGAAAAGCTACAGGCTGACCTCTCATTGATCGAAAAGGAGACGCAACAAACTCTATCTTCATTGAAGGAAAGAACAGAGCAGGAGAAACTAAAGATCGATGGGGAAAAACAAGAACTGCAGTCTTCCCTTTCTTCGATTGAAGTCGAGAAAAATAACCTGTCCTCGGCTCTTTCCTCCCTGGAACAAGAGAAGGAGACACTCGCAGGAGAACAAGAGACTCTTCAGTCTACAGTTGCTTCGCTGGAGAAGGAGTTGGAAGAGTCCAAAGAGTCTGCAGCAAAGCTCAATGAGCAGGTACACACACACACTGTAGTGGCTTTTTAACCTTATCCATACATAAGCCACTGAGGGATTGGAACGGGAGAACTAAGTTCTGACGCGGGTTCCAGATGACAAAACAATGTCCATACGAGTGTATATCTTTCAATCCATCGATCCATTTATTTTGTTGTCCATATAGCCTTTCTGTTACCATTCAGATACGATAATATGCAAGGCCAGTCACGCTGAATACAAACAGGTTTAACATACAGCTCATATTAACACGGCTTCTGCCGACACGGTCGAAAGCTGTTTGCTTCCGTCCCACACACCACACACAAGTGAATACTCCATCTTGTGTAGAAAGTTGGAACTGCATCATTCATTAAACGTCCAGATAAAATACAAACACACACACATGCATTATAGCTCCAACACACACATAGATCTATTTAAGTCTCAAATGTCCCCACGTGCCAACCATTCGGCATGTATCCTAATAAATAAGTGAATTTGAGATAAGCAGAACACATAGTATGAATGATCTCTTGTTTCATTTGATCATTTGATGTTATGTTGGGAGTTAGTCATGCTAAACATATCTCTTTCGGTCTGTTTCAGGTGTCACAGCTAACGTCTCAGGCCGCTCGTCTGTCCAAAGAGAGAGACTCTGCCCGGAGCAAGATGAGTCTCTTGATGAAGACCTGCAAACAGCTGGAGCAGGAGAAGCAAGAGATGCTGAACAGCTCAGGTGGGGAAACGCATTCAAATGCTTCTGTAATAAATACATAGATAAAACACATTTAAAGGATGAACATACTACTTTCATGACATACAAGACCTGCGCCATCCTGGGGACAATGTGTAAGAAATCAGGATTGACCAGAATTCTCTATTTGTACACAGACATTAGTTTGTGTTTACAAATCAATCCAAGATGTCATGAAAGTATATGAACGATTAAGTAATTAGGTTGTATCATTATACTAGTTTTGATTAACAACAGAAGAGTATCACTATAGAGAGGCGAAGTCCCTCCCTTTCCGGGGGACCTCCATAGGACCTTATTTCGGAAAAAGTATGTATTGAAGTCAATGGAGAGAGAAAACGTATCTCTCGATCCCGTTTGAATTGTGCCACGAATTACACATATGATGTTTGTCAATCTTAAAAAATACTTTCCATGTCAAAAAAGTCACAGTTTGTCGTAACTGTTGAAATATAAGACTATGAAAAATACGCAACTAGAAAGACTACGAATCCCGGTCCCACATGCTGGCTCTTACGGAACCGACTAACTCCCCTTGTGTATGCACAGCTCTCAACGTGCCCAGATTTGTAGTGATTTTCACCTCTTTTAATACCTTTTGCCTCATTCTGAAAGAAAGAAGTGAAATGTGCCAACGTGTCGGCCATCTTGGTGTGTGGTGCGAGACGGGAGATTTAGTTCATTGAGCAGTTTCACACAAAAAAAGTGTTACTTCACAGTTTTACGACACATTTTACAAAATGTACTTGCAAATTTATCTTTTAAATTGACAAACATCATGTGTGTAATTCGTGGCACAATTCAAACGGGATCGAAAGATAATCTTTCTTTCGCCATTGACTTCAATACTTACTTTTTCCGAAATAAGGTCCCATGGAGCTCCCCCGGAAAGGGAGGGACTTCGCCTCTCTATAATATCCAATTTAAGTTGGATTTGGACAAACAAAACAAGACCTTACCTTTGACTTTGTTCACTATAATCAGGTATTTTATAGACAATAATCAGTGCAAACTAATTATTTTGTTAACATGGGGCACATTTGTGTCACAGGTGACGTGAAGAGCAGCAACGCGGTGCAGACTGAGGCGAAGCAGCTGAAGGAGGCGGCAGAGCAGAGAGAGAAGGAAGTGGAAGACCTGAAGAGTGCTCTGCAGCAGAAGAAGGTGGAGGCAGAAGAAAAAATAGTGGAGTCACAACAAAAAAGTAAGGAAGTGGAAGAACTTAAGGCTGCCCTCGATGGAAAGAAGAAAGAGTTAGAAGAGAGGAACGGAGAGCTGCAGGAGATGAAGAGCGAGTTTGACAAACTAAACCAAAACCTGGAGGAGCAAAGCAAGGAGGCCGACGAGAGCATCGAAAAATACTGCAGCGTTATGCTTAAAGTCCACAAACTGGAAGAGACCAACGATTCACTAACAACCCGGCTGGAGCAGCTCACTGCTAGCCGACCAGCTAACGAATCAAACGTCCCCTCCAGCAGCGCGGACGCTGCTCACCGGCGCCGCTCAGGGAGGAAGTCTTACTCCAAACATCCCGAGGAAAAACTGGATGAGAACACAGAGAACATGGCACCCTTAACTCTGCAGAGGTCTCCTCAGGGGAAACGAGCTCACCATGACATCAGTAATAAAGACAGCGCCCAGGAGGCCCTGCACAACCTGACAAAGAAGATCAAAGCCAACGCAGTGACTACAGCCAAACCAAAAACTGAGCAGGAAGACGATGAGTTCAGACCAGAGGGGCTGCCTGAGCTGGTGCAGAGAGGTAATGTAACTGCAACTCAAGTTCATCAAAATCTAGGGAAGAAAACACCCGTTTCTTTTTTTAACCCCTTATGGATTTAGATGTATGCAGTAAATGTAACTATTTAAGTGCTGGTGCAATTTTACAAAACATTTAAGGATGAGAAAAGTAATAATTAGTTCTCTGGCAGGTTTTGGTGATATTCCTCTGGGGGAGGCCAGTCCGTTCATCATGAGGAGAACCACAGTGAAGCGCTGCAGTCCACGACTCGCTGCCAAACAGACGGTTCCCTCTTCTGATGTCATGGTGAGCAGCAACACACACACACACACTCACACACACCTTGTCTGTGCTACTTATACCCGACAGCTATTTATTTATTTGCATGTCAAAACAAATGGCATGTTCTTCAAAACAGCTACTCTTGTTGCTACTTTCTAATGAATACATGGTATAAAGCAGAGCAGACTGATCAATGGAGTCCAGTTCCAGGCACAGTCCTTTGTTGTGTAAATATTATCAAATATTCACTTCCAATTATTTTTCACTCTTCTTATCTTGTCTTGCTTGTCCTCCACAGGTCTTGGGGTCCATGCCCTGTCTCTCCCCGAATGGTGAGGAGAAATCTGCACACCGCTCGCTGAGTGTCCACCAGACACCAGAGAAACAAGAAGACAACTGCCACGTCCAGTAGATTATGATAGACACAGTTTTGCACTTGTGATATATTTGGAGAAATATACACATGCATGCGTCATTAATCCACCTTTTTAAAATCACACGCTAACATAAAGACTCGTTTATTTTCTTTATATGTGGGGTTGGCAGGCTGTGTGTCACTTTTTTCTGGGTCTTTAAAGTCACAACTACACCTGTCAATGTCTCATTTATCTGTTGGATGGTTTAAACACATTACAAACAAATCAATAACCAATATAAGATGATGAAGCAGGTTAAACGAGTGTTGAGTTTCTTCAAAGCACTATTTTTCTAAAGCGATTTTTAATGAAACTCCTTGAAATGTCAGACAAGTGTTCTAGTATGAATGCGAACATCCCCTTTTTCTGCTCCTCTTTCTTCATGGCTTCAACTTGCAACTGTTTCCTTGTCTTTACCACTCTGGTTGTACTTTATTTCCTTTTGTACTGTATTTGTGTCCTTTGTTTGCGAGAGAGTCTTGGACCTTGTACATAGTCGATAATATACAGTAAATCAGCTATTCATATCTGTTAGTCCTGTAACATATATATTTTCTCATGGCAGCTAAGATTTTGTAGATTTTATGCTTTAATATTTTTGTAGTTAAACTCAAGAACACGTGTTTTTTAATCTTTACAGCAAATGTTAAAAGCTGATGTGATTTTATAACTCTCGTTTTTGTATGTTTATAGTTAATTGTTACTGATCATTGCAAATAGTTCATTGCCCTTTTTATACTAAACTTTTACTGCCTCATAATGTGCCTGGTCTTTTTTTTTGCAATCACATGCGTGAGTGTTCTTAGTTGCTATCATATGATAACTTAAAAGATATGCGAAATAGCAGGAAGCACAATAGAGCAGGGGTTCCCACATTGCCCCTACAAATAGAATCAAATTCTGTGGGAAACACTGGATAATAAAAAAATAATCTTTTAATTTAATTGTTTTTATTATCTCGTGACCCCCACTTTGGGAACCCCTGCAATAGAGTATACAGTATGCAGCTGGTTTACAAGTGAGTGCACAGTTCACTTTGCCGCCACAGGGTGGGGGGGTAGAGCCATGTGGAGACAGCGTGTTGATCAGAGTTCAGCAATCTCAGTGGAGGGGATACTTCACCTAAAGCTGTCAGTGGAGGATAAAAAGGGTTAATTAGACAATCAGACCAGAAACTAGATAGTGGTAGACCTAATTTAAAAACAAAAGCATGAATTCAACTCAAGCAACTGTGTATGAAAAACATGTTTTTATCTTTTTCTGAATGCCAAATTGACTATAACGTGTTTACCTTGCATAGAAACCTATTTGCTCATGGATGGCAATACTAATACAGGGAGATATCAATTTGGCTTTTACGGAGATAATTGTGACATTTTAATGATGCAGTCTGACTTTTAATGGCTCTACATCTAGATTAGGATGAGGAGAAAAAAAATTATGTATTTTGTTTAACAGTTTAATTTATAATACAAAATACCTTATTTAAATGTCCATAGTGCATGTTGCACGGCCCGGCCCCTTGAAGGGTTGTTCTGTACTCTGACAAGATTTTTTGTTTGATTAATTACTGTCAATATATGATGTGTCGGCCCACCTGTACTTGGATCAGCCTAACGGGCCACCACTCATCTTACATCTAGTTAAAGTTACTAAATCACCAAACATTCAGATCAATTTCAAACCACACCTAATTACAACATGCTCATAAATGACACAATAGAGGGAAGCAATCCAATGTTTTCATGATGCAGGGCTGTAATTCATTTGGGCTATTGAGTTGTCTGAGTTAAAGCAATCAGACCTTCTATTAACAACAACCTCTGTGCTTAAATCATGTCCCAGCGTGCCACTGAAGAGACATTTCAACATCAGTACAACACACATTTAATTGCAGATGTTTTATTTAAATCTGCAAAGAAAAGCATTTACGCAAATGAAAAGGAGTAGGACAGATATAATTTAACCAACTGAGCATAGAACTGCATCAATTAGACTTTTATTATACAGCATGTGTCCCAATTTACTTTAATTAATCAAGAACTTTCTCCGGTTTTGGACTCTTCATCATGATGGCAAGTGAGGAAAACAAAGTTATCTCCACAAATTCAAGGAAACACAAGGTGAGTAATCTATATACAAATGATCATTTGGGGTTTAAAGGTTTTCTTTAACTTGACAAACCCTCTCTGCTTTCAGATATTCAACTTTAAATTGAAAGCAGCTTGTTGCACGTCACTTCTAGCATAATAAAGCATCCTTAATGCTGTCTGACTGTGACAATACAAACACATTGGAGCTGTGGCTCTGCTGATTGGAAATGTCAGAGATTATTAGTGGGATTTCTCTGGGTGAACCTTTACGATGTGTCTGGGGAACACTGCTCTGATCAATGACATTGATCCTCTGCTGCATGGATGGCAGATAAGATTATTGATGTGAGCCGACCTTTTGGCCTCTTGATCTTCTGAGGCTGTAAGGACACATTGAGATGAGACAACAGATTCATCAGGATCTTGTTTGAAGCCTCAGTGAGAACATCTGTTGTTTTTCTTCCACTCATCATGGCTTTTTATTTCTCTACTGGCTGGAAGCAGGGCATGCTGGGTTATTTGCTGTGTTTGGAAGGTTACTTTTTCCCATTTACTCCAGTACTATAAAGTAATTTGTATTTGTAGCTACAAATATTGTACATTTTACTCCACTTCATTTAAAGAATCAGATTAATAATGCAAATGTAATACAATCATTCAGTGGCGACTGGTCATTAGGGGCAGGTGGGGCCCCACCTAGTGTCAGCAGAAAGTATTAAAATAATGATTACAAAAAAAAATATAAAATATATTTTAAGATCATGTTTAATCATCTGATTCGGCTGTATATAGCTGTTTTAGTCTGTGTTCTTCTAATTAGTGTCTACAGTGTGCCTATTGAGACGTTTTGAGCCATGTGGGACAAAACTCGATCATGCCCCTCCCTCTCAAACTACACTGCGCATGCTCAGAGTATTGTCCTTTAATGTGTGTGGCAAAAAAATAATGACCATAGGGGCACTGAGCTGCAATCCCCACCATACGTCATCTCACATAATTCAGAGCTGATTGGCTGTAATTACGTGTGCCGCGAAAAGTGTGGTGTGTGAAGAGGAGATGAGAGTTGCAGTGACGCGTCCTAAAACCCGGAAGTAAGCTGCGCATGGGTTCCCTCCATGGATGTATAATAAGAACTGGGCTGCAGTCGAATAGTCCATTTAGCTTAGGAACCTTCCTAACCGAGTGAAATGACCCGGAAGTCCCTCAGTGGCAGCCATGATAAGTGCCGTTCAAATTCTCTAGAATGATAGGAAAGGAGGGTTGCGTTCCGATAATCCAAAAATCAGCTCCTAAATTCTAACCCTATCTCCTATTCCTTGACCTCTGAGTGAAACGTCACGAGGTTAAGGGATAGTGGATAGGAGAATTCAAAAGGATTTAGGAGAAGAGACTGCGGTGCTTAGAGAATCCGCCAGCGGACGTCATGAATGTGCGTCTGCTGCTGTGGGGAAACTATGGAAACTACAGTTTTCTATACAGCGGACTACAACATGGATGTTTAATAAGAACGAGGGACTACTATAAACTCATCTAGAGACTCTGCACCGTGCTCTGATGCTGTTGCTTTATGCTTTATGAACGTGGACAACAGAGAAACATATTCTTCATGACCAAAGTTGGAATTGAAATAAAAAAGGAAAGTGAAATGTATGCTCGTCACCCTCTCCCTCCGGTCCACATTAATACAAATGATCCCAATACGTATGATTGTATGAACTATTAAAAGATCTTAAAATAAATACAAATGTATTTATTATAAACGTTAGTCCTTAACATCTATCACTGTGTATATCACCATTCAAACATCTTTTAAAAGTTGAACAACCCCACACAGCTCAGTGAAATGTTGACTTTATTTGATCATTTCAGTAAAAACTAACGTTCATATTTCTCTTTTTGATTATAATACTGATGAACGTTCAAAACAAAGCACTTTGGCAACTTACCACATACGTTTTAAAAAGCTTAATAAGCACCGTAACATTCATGATATAATTTCTCCGTCATAATCGTTTGTGTCCGTGAACGGCCGACTGTTGTGTGACGTCAAACACTACACTGGCTTCCTGTACGCTACCGTATTGACTACAAAAACATTCTACTCATATACAAAGCTGTCCATAACCTTGCCCCCATCTACATCTCTGACCTCCTTCAGGAGTACACCCCCTCCCGCACCCTCCGCTCTTCGTCCGTAGGACTTCTCACCGTCCCAAGCTATCGCCTCAAAACCATGGGTGCTCGAGCTTTCAGCTGCTCGGCTCCCAGACTCTGGAACACCCTGCCACTACACATCCGACAGTCTGATTCCATAACAACATTCAAAACCCAACTCAAAACCCACCTGTTCAAACTGGCATTTTCTCTATAATCTGTACCCTGTGTCCTTTTGTAGTCAATTTCCTGTTGTTTGTCTTGTCTTACCCCGGCTGATACTTCACTAAATCCACTGTTTTAATTTGTAAGGTAAAATTGTAATTGTAAATCTGTAACCCTGTAAGGTGTCCTTGGGTGTTATGAAAGGCGCCCCCCAAAATAAATGTATTATTATTATTATTATTAAACTTCCTTTATAACCTCCTTTAGCTTAGGAACCACTGGACCTCCCTAACCGAAAGGAGAGGAGAAAATGCTGCCCCACAATGCATTGCAGCCACAGCATTTGACCTCACACAACAGTCGGCCGTTCACGGACACAAACGATTATGACGGAGAAATTATATCATGAAAGTTACGGTGCTTATTAAGCTTTTTAAAACGTATGTGGTAAGTTGCCAAAGTGCTTTGTTTTGAACGTTCATCAGTATTATAATCAAAAAGAGAAATATGAACGTTAGTTTTTACTGAAATGATCAAATAAAGTCAACATTTCACTGAGCTGTGTGGGGTTGTTCAACTTTTAAAATATGTTTGAATGGTGATATACACAGTGATAGGTGTTAAAGACTAACGTTTATAATAAATACATTTGTATTGATTTTAAGATATTTTCATAGTTCATGCAATCATACGTATTGGGATCATTTGTATTAATGTGGACCGGAGGGAGAGGGTGACGAGCATAAGTTTCACTTTCATTTTTTATTTAAATTCCAACTTTGGTCATGAAGAATATGTTTCTCTGTTGTCCACGTTCATAAAGCATAAAGCAACAGCATCAGAGCACGGTGCAGAGTCTCTAGATGAGTCCGTCGTTCTTATTATACATCCATGTTGTAGTCCGCTGTATAGAAAACTGTAGTTTCCATAGTTTCCCCACAGCAGCAGACGCACATTCATGACGTCCGCTGGCGCATCATAAACACATCGGATAGTGAAAGTGCATTCGGATTCTCTAAAGTACCACAGTCTCTTCTCCTAAATCCTTTTGAATTCTCCTATCCACTATCCCTTAATCCCGTGACGTTTCACTCAGAGGTCAAGGAATAGGAGATAGGGTTAGAATTTAGGAGCTGATTTTTAACAGTGGCGAGCCGTGACTTTTATACCTAGGCCTTCCCTCGAAAAAAAAGAAGAGATATTACGTCACAGCGTATACTTCAGCGGAATATCAAAACAGCGGCCCGGGATGCAAAACGCATCAATGACAGCGACCCTCTACCACACAAAACAACACCATTTATATAAACACCTATCATGACAGGGCACCCACAGCCAAGTAACAATTA